ACTTCCTCACAAAGGGATGTGAGGAGTGCAGCATCACAAAAGGCTCTTGTAGTCTCTGAAGTGGGATTTCAGCTCCATAAAACAGTGACAGAAGGACCCGAGTGCATCAGCCAAGTTCAAAACATCACGAGTTTGATGCCTCCATTAGAAACCAGGGTCCTTGGATACAGTAATTTGGCAGTAGAAGAGCGTGCACGACTGCCACGCACAGAGCACAGCACTTCACCCCTTACCCAGCTCAGAAGGGAGTTCAAACTGGAGCAGGTACAAAAACAGGCTACTAAAATATCAGGATGTCAAGTGCTTTTCTCAGAATGCAGAGTAAAAGCTTTTGATTCTTTTCCTTACCAAAGGAAAAAAAAAAAAAGCAAACTCCAAGCTTAGACAAAGGTGACATTCCAAAAAAAAAAGTGACTGAGCTCATCACTTCCTGCAGAAGGGCAGAGGAGAGGGGGGAATAAATCCCAAGTCTCCTCTCTCAGTGTATGGCAAAAGGCACCAAGCACTCATTTGTGTCCCTCTTGTGAAGGGACTGGCAGTGGTGGGGAAATCCCCCGTGAGGAATCAGGGATCAGCCTCCCAAGTGGCTCCATTCCTTTGGGGAGAACCCCAGAGGCAAGGAAGGGATGTGATGGAGGAGTCTCGGGGGGCTGAACATTTTCCAAGCTGGACAAGCTGAAGCCTCTCAATGCACCAATGCCTCTGCACAGGCAGAGCGTCTCTGGAAGCACCAGATGTTTCAACAACAAATTTCCTCTTGGATCAACTTTCTTCCCAAAGGCAAAAACTTCCCCTCAGTGCAAACTGAACTAGCCACTATTACAAGACCAACTCTTTCACTTTTACCCACAGAGTTTTTAAAGTAAATATCCAAGTCAGTGTTCCTGCTGGCAGCTACAAACCAACAGAGGGCAACTCCAGAAGTTTGAAAAAAAGAGGAGAATGATTCCTTGGCAGACTCCAGAAGGATAATCCACACTTAGTGTTTGGAAAGGTCTTTGTAAACATGCAGGTAGCTGCAGCCCTGGTAAAACAGACACTGAATCCAGCCTCAATTCCATGGTACCATCACCAAATGCCAGAGGAGAGCTGCCAGCATTCACCAGAGGAAGCTTCTGTGTCAAAAAAACCTGGTGTTTTTCGAGAGATTACTGATCCTCAAGTAGACCATGACCAGAAAGGCCTTTGAAAAACACTTCTAGTTCTGTTTTCTTTTGTTTAGGCTTTTTCGTTTTGGTTTTCCTGTTTCTTTTTGTTTGTTGTTTTTATTGTGGTGGATATTGTTTTTTTAAAGAGCAGTTATCAGGTGATTTCAGTGCTCTGAAAAGTTGATATAAGTCACTAGACATCTAATTTCTTTCCTGGTCAGTAGTAATCAAAGCTTTATATTTCATAACTTTGTTTTACATTTAAAACCATAAAACTACTTAAGAAGTGTGTTTAAATCATGCTTAGCTGACAAGCTGCTCTGCTCTTCTTCCACAAGCACTTCTGCACTACCACAAACCCAACAAGAAGTAGCAATTTTAGTAAGTTGTATATTCATTCCTACATCCATGAGGGCAGAGCCCCTCTTCTACTCTCCAAGGTCAAGTGGTTTCTTCCTAGCTAGACTAGAAAAATTGCTCAAACTTTAAACTACAGCATAGCCAAAATTCCCATTATTGTGGAATCATTTAGGCTGGGAAACACATCTAAGGTTGCATCCTTCCAGACAAGCATCATTCTGTTCCTCATGTCAAACACTAAGACATGCTCGACCTGCGTGTCCATCCCACACTATGTTATGTTCCTGCCCCAGCAATTTTCAAGTTTTCAATCTTCAAAAAAAAAAAAAAAAAAACACCCTCTCATGTGTTTCTTTACGCATTTTCTCTTTTTGAAAGTCTAATCTCAGATCAGAGGTTGTAGCCTCTCCTTTCCATTTCAGACTGCATTTAAGCTCTCTCCCTCATTCCCGTGGGAATCAAAACCCAAAGCAAGCAAAACCCAAAACTTTCAGAGCAGACAGCGTGGCAGGACCAGCATTCCTCAGACCAAGGTCAGCACGCCAGAGAATAACCCCATCCCTGGGATTACACCGCTGAAGAGTTGATAAAAATTGTTTTCCCTGATGATAAGCACTTCTAAACAACATCTTAAAAACAGCCAAATGCAAGGTCATTTCCAAGGCTGGAAAACACCAGCCCTGCTATAGGAATGGGAATTGTGTGAAGGAAGGCAATGACATTAAGGACTCTGGGCAGCATTTGCAGATGCCACGTGAACATTAAATCCTGACACGAGTCTGGAGCAAAAGGGACTAACGGGAGCCTTGGAAAGGGGTATCAAGGACAAAGACAATACTATCAGCTTATATCTCATCAGTGAGATCAATAATAGACTGTCACCCTCCTGCTCAGAGAACAACACTTCAACACAGAGTTAAAAGCCAGAAATGCTGGTAGAAATAACTACAAGATGATCAGAAACCTGGGAGAGCCGCCTTAAAGTCAAGTTGTTTTAACCAGAAAGATAAGGGGATTACTTAATTATCACCAAAGATTATCAATTAGGAAAGAGTTCAGTTCTTTTTCATACCTAACACAGCAAATACATGGAAAGATACAACAACAAGGAGTTCAGTTAAAAACCTGTTTTTAAAGATTCACTTCGTTTTGGAAAGTAAAGATAATTGAGGATATTAATAATTAACAACTAAGGCAACTCTGCCACTTGTTGAGAGCGGGTGAGTTGAGGATACTTCAATCAAAGGTCAGTAAAAGCAGCACAATCGATGATCAGATGAGGCTCTACAACCCACAACGACCCAGCTGTCCTGTGATCCTAATGGTCCTCCCAAATTCCAGCACCAAGGCTGGCTTATCAAAAAGGTGCTATTGAAACTACTACACCTAAACCTCACTGTGGTCACTCCAAACTTCTCTGTCGGTCACTGGAGGAATTTAACAGGCTGTAGCTGGATGCCACAGAGCCAACTCTCCCACTGAGGATGGGATCAGGGCAGCACAGCTCCAGCCTCCTCCTGCCAACCCCCAGATTCCCAAAGGCCACACGCAGCAGGTGACACAGCCGAGCATTCCAGGTCAGGGGCAGGAGAGGACACCCGGCTGCCAAAAAACACAGAGCCCATGGGCACCTGACAGCCCTTCACCTGCAGGGTAGGGGGGCACTGACCCTTCTCCCCGTTTCACCCGATGAGTGCCAACCTGTCCCACAAATGTCCTTCCCCCAAACATGGGGCCAGCGTTGCCTCCTCAGGTGCAACTTTCCCATGCCCATCTCTGGTGCTTAAGCCCCCCTAGACCGGACCCTCCAGGCCCTCCCCACTCACTCACCACCTCAAACCTGCAGCCCAGACCCTCTGCCCCACACAACACCCCTAAATCTCTTCATCAAACAGCTCCCCAAACACATCCCCCAGGGATGAGGTTCAGCTCTATCTCCAACCCCTTTAAAGCACCTCCTGCCCCCCAACTCTGCTGCACAGACCCTCCCTCACACGCAGCCCCCAAAACCTTGCTACACAACCCCACACACAGCCTCCCCCAAACCCTGCAGCACAGACCCCCCTTCACACAAAGACCCCAAACCCTCTTGGGCAGACCCACACACAGAGATACAGAACCCCAAACCTGCTCTACAGACCCAAACACACACAAGCCCCCCCAACTCTGCTGTAAAGACCCCCCCTAACACACAGGCCCCCAAACCCTGCTGTACAGACCTTCCATCCCACACAGATCCCCAGTTCTGCTGTTCAGACCCTCCTTGACAATCAGCCCCCTCAAACCCTATTGAAGAGACCTCCAAGACCCCCTCCCACAATGCCCCCCAATTACACTGTACAGATCCCCCCCTTTTACACAGCCCCCTCCTAACCCTGCTACAGAGACCCTCCCTAACACAACCTCCCCCAAAATTCTCTATAAACCCCCAAACTACGCTGTAAAGACCTCCAAAATCTGTTGTAGAGATACACACACAACCCTCCAAAATTCTGTATAAACCCCCAAACTGTGCTGTAAACACACACACACAACCCCCCCAAAAATTCTGTATAAACACCCAAACTGTGCTGTAAACACACACACACAAACGCCCCGAAAACTCTAACCATCAAATACCTCCACACTGAACCCTAAAGACATTCGTATAACCCCCAAATTCTGTGTAAACCTCCAGCAGCCTGTAAAAACTTGCCTCATGTATAAATCCCCCAACTGTGCTCTAAAGACACACACACAAGCCCCCAAAATTCGGTATAAACCTCCACACTGGGCTGTAAACACACACATATAACCCCTCCAAAACTCTGTATAAACCTCCAAACTGTACTGTAAAGACACACACACACACCCCCAAAATTCTCTATAAACCCCCAAACTGGGCTGTAAACACACACACACATAATCCCTCAGAAATCTATATAAACCCCCAAACTGTGCTGTAAACACACACACATAATCCCTCAAAAATCTATATAAACCCCCAAACTGTGCTGTAAACACACACAGATAACCCCCCAAAAATTCTGTATAAACCCCCAAACATAACCCGCCCAAAATCCTGTATAAACCCCCAAACATAACCCGCCCAAAATTCTGTATAAACCCCCAAACTGTGCTGTAAACAGACACACATAACCCCCCAAAATTCTGCATAAACCCCCAAACTCCGCCGTACAGACGCTCCCTCGCGCACAGACCCCCGAACTCCGCACAAACTCCCGAACTCCGCCGCACAGCCGATTACACAAAACACACAGCCCCCCAAAAACACGGTACGCAGGCCCCTCCCTCACACACAGCCCCCCGAAACTCCGCACAAACCCCCCAAACTCCGCCGTACAGATCCCTTCCCCCCCCCTCACCCAGCCCCGTCCCCGCTCTCCCCGCCGCAGGCCCCAGCGCAGGCCGCGCACAGGCCCGGCCGCCCGGTCACCCCCCAGAGCGGAGCCCGGAGCGCGGCCCGGGCGCGGCGCCGGTGCCGGCACTCACTCGGGCAGGTATGTGGAGGAGAAGCTGCTCCAGCGGTGCAGGCTGTAGCCCAGGACGCGGCTCTCAGCGCCCGCCGGACCCGCCGCCGCCGCCGCCATCTTGTTGTCAGCAGCGGCCCCGGCAGCGACCGCGGCGGGCGGGGCCGCGCCCTTAAAGGGGCCGCGCTCTTAAAGGGGCCGCGCTCTTAAAGGGGCCGCGCTCTTAAAGGGGCCGCGCAGGGGGAGGTTTGGGGTGTGTGGGGGGGGACACGACGAGATGAGGGGCTCGGAAGGTGCCCTGTGGGTCTGAAAGGCTCAAGTGGTTCCATGAGTGCCCTGAGAGGCTCAGGGGGTGCCCCTGAGTGGTTTGAGCGATGTCCCTGAGAGGTTCAAGGTGTTCAAAGCCCTCAGGGGCTTTGGTGGGGGGGGATGTCCCCTGGGTCTGAAGGGCTCAAGGGGTTCAAAGAGTGCCCTGGGGGGGATCTGAGGGGCTGAAGGGATGCCCTGCGAGGCTCAAGTCGTTCCGGGGGGTGCCCTGTGGGTTGATGGGGCGCTGAGGGACTCAAAGGATGCTCTAAGGGGCTCAAGTGGTTCAGAGTGTGCCCGGAGGGGGATCTGAGGGGCTCGAGGGATGCCCTGAGAGGCTCAAGGGGCTCAGGGGTTGCCGAGTGGGGTGTGGGACATGGAGGGGATGCCCTGAGGGCCTCAGTGGATGCCCTGTGGGGCTGAGGGGCTCGAGGCGCTCAGGGGACGCCCTGAGGGGTTTCAGGTGGGTGGAGGAGACCAGGGGGGTGCCCCATGAGGCTGGAGTGGGGTGTTGATCACCAAAGAGCCTGGCAGGAGCTGAGTGGAGTGGGATCAGGGCTGATTTATCTCTGCTGTTGGTGCCCTTGTTTGGTGAAGGCCAGCACTCCTACTGACCTTGCTGTCCGGAAGGATCCCCGAACTCCTTCCCACGGAGCTGCTCTCCAGCCCAGTAGATCCCAGCCTGTGCTGCACTCATGGATAATGTTTCCCAGGTGTAAGACCTTGCCCTTGTGAAGAACCATGAGGTTCTTTTCAGCCAGCTCTTCCAGCCTGTACAGGTCTTCCTGCAGGGCGGCTCTCCCTTCAAAATGGATCTTCCCGGATCAGTTTAGCATCATTGACAAACCTCATCAGGGTACAGTTCATCCCATCAGATCACTTATGAAAATAAGAGACAGGACAAGGGGGAATGGCTTCAAACTGACAGAAGAGAGACTTAGATTAAATGTTAGGAAGGAATTCTTGACTGTGAGGGTGTTAAGACACCTTGTCATAGGTTGTCCAGAGAAGTTGTGGATGCCCCATCCCTGGAAGTGTTCAAGGCCAGGCTGGGAGGAGCTCTGAGCAATCCAGGATAGTGGAAGGTGTCCCTGCCCATGGCAGGGGGGTTGGAACAAGATGGTCTTTAGGTCCCTTCCAACACAAACCAGTCTTTGATTTTATGACTCTATATTAAACATTAAAAGTATTCATAGTTTCCTCCTTTGCAATTGATGCTGCTGAACAATTCTCTGGCAGCGCTGGTACCTCTCTGGGTCTGTGGTGCTGTGCTCCATTTGGAGGGATGCTCATTTTGGGATCTCCAGACCTGGACCGGGTTGGATTTCAGTGCTTCGGACCACCATGTGCCCAGAGCCTGGCTCTGAAACCCCACACACTGATGGACCAGCACACAAGCTGGGGATTCTTTCACAAGTTTCTCTGTTTAAGGTTGTTTAGGGTTTTTCCTGGAGAAGGGAGATGTTTTCACCCAGAGCTCCCACCAAAGCCAGGGGGAGGCTTGGGACATCCCTGGGGCAGCTCTGGGCTCCTGGAGAAAGCAGGGGAAATATTTCAAGACCACGGGGGAAAAAAAAAAAAAGCCAAACAAATAAACCGCTGTCTGTTGGAAATGACAGATTGGAGAGATATTATGAGGCAGGACAGCAGGATGCCTGGCTAGATTAAATTAGCACAAGGATTCTTTTATTTTTTTTTCCCCCCTTTATTTTAGGAAAGCGAGTGAGAATGTGGCAGCAAAATCTGCCTGCGGATGAAAAACCCGTTCCGCAGCCTTGAAGGCTGAACATCAACTGGGTGTTTCAAAAGCAAGGGGGAGCAGCAAGCACTTCATCTCAAGACCCCTTCCCTGAGGGGCTTCTCAGCGTTTTCACTGGAATCAAAGCCACACAGCTCCGCAACAACACCACAAAGTCCATGGATGAGGCACAAACATCCACATCTCCCTCCGCTGCTGCACTAACGAGGCTTTTTGAAGTTTGTGGCCTTCCCGTGGCATTTCAGGCTTCACTTATCCAAACTTCTGCCTGCGGGCATCCCTCCTCTCCCAGAGTTACCACAGGAGTAATAAAACAAATACTTTACTAATAATATACTCCCAACCCCAGAGGAAGAGACGCCACCTCAATGTCCGGAGCTTCACTAACAACCACGCAGTGCCATGTGAAACCTGTGACCTCTGAATATGAAATTTAGGGGATTGAGAGTGGGGACAACAGCCCCAAAGCAGCCAGGAAGAGGTGAAGGAGGAGGAAGAGGAAGGAGAGACAGCAGCTCCCGCTGCAGAGCGAAACCACCCCAGGATTTCTCTGCCCAGTATCCTGTTACCACTTGAATCAAGAACCTGGATGCCAAGCCAGCGTATTTTTAGCACATTTTGGACTTGAAGTGAAGGGAATGCTGGTGAAATACGCAGTACTGACAGCCCTGGAAAATCTTTCTCCATCTGCAGCACAGGCAGCAGGGAAGGCTGTGAGGAAGCAAAGCAATCCTGAGCTGCAAACTGGGTGTGTGTCCCCCCCACTCCAAGCTCCCCAGGGTTTCTCCAGCTCAGCCTTCCTGGTGCTGTGCAGTTACTGGTGGCTGCTGGAGGAGAGGGTTTTTCCACCCTCTGAGTGGACAGAGCACAGTGGGGAGGAGTGTGATGTGCAGGGAAGCGTCGTGCTGCAGCTCTGCACAGCCTGGAGCCTCCAGCTGAGCTCTCTGCATCCCAGCAAGGGTGGCTGCCCTTGCAGTGGGTGATGGGGCCACAGAGGAGGGGGAGACTCACAAAACACGAGTGTCTGAACCCCACTGTGCTGCTCCAGGTCTGTGCTGCATTTCCTGATCCAGTGCAACAGTGGATCTGTGGAACCTCCGGAGCCCAAAGGAATCAGTGTACCCTGTCCTACCTCCAGCAGTGACTGAGACCCACTGCTCTGGGGAAGATACCCAAAAGAGGGTACTTATCACAGAATCATTAAGGTCGGAAAAGCCCTCTAAGTTCATCAAGTCCAACCATTAACCCAGCACTGCCAAGGCCACCACTAAACCCTGTCTCTAGGTGCCACATCCACATGTTTTTTGGACACTTCTGGGGACAATGATTCCACCACTGCCCTGAGCAGCTTGTCCCAATGCCTGACCACTATTTCAGTGAAGAAATTTTATCAAATAGTTCAATCTAATCCTGGTGCAACTTGAGGCCATTTCCTCTCATACCACCTCTTGTTACCTGGGAGAAGAGACCAACCTTCACCTGGCTCCAATCCCCATTTAGGGAGTTGTAGAGAGCGAGAAGGTCCCCCCTGAGCCTCCTTTCCTCCAGGCTCATCCCATCCAGCTCCCTCAGCCTCTCCTCATCAGACTTGTGCTCCAGACCCTTCACGAGCTTCCCTGTCCTTACGAAACAAACACCTTGCAGAGCTGTCCCTTCTCCCGAGCCCCTCACCTGGGACCTCACTGAAACTCTCCAGCACAATTCCCAGACCAGAGCTGGCTGGGTGGATCCGTGCTGCCTGTGGCTGGCTGGTCTGTAAGGAAGGGGCCGTGGAGGGGAAGAGAGAGCTTCTCTCGCTGCAAACAGGGTCCCTTTGGCCATCAGGGCCCAGCCTCACAGCGAGCTCAGAGGTGCCTGGACAGGTGCCTTGGACAGTAGCTGGAGTTGCTGGGAGAGTCCAGGGTGACCACAAGAGACGTTCCCCACATCTCTTTGCCAGGAGGATGATGCACACGCGGCGTTCACGTGCTTGTCATCAAGAAAGCTGGAAACCCAAGGGCAGGAAACTTGGGGGTTTGGCAATTGTTTGTGTCAGCCTGGAGACAAATATCTCATCCCCCCCCCGCTACCCCCACATCAGAAACTTGTTCCTCCGCCGCGCGTGTGTTTCGAGTTTCCTCATGCAAAACCTCGCGTGGGCGTTTGGATACGTAACGAGCACATAGTTCAGGATGAAAACAAGTTGCGGGGAAGGGCCAAGCAACGCCAGAGAAATGAAAGCAATACAAACAACAACATGGCAGGCGGCCATACCAGCCCGCTCGTGGGCCAGCCGGATCTCACGTCCTCCCCGGAGCTGCGGAGCCGATCAGCTGTTGGAAAAAGAGACCTCTAAAGAACAGGCGGGAGGAAATAGCATTGGCAGCGCAGGCCACTGCATGTTTCCTTCCAAAGCGGGACAGAGCCAAGGACATCAGGCAGAGCTGTAACATTTGGGGGCTCGTGAAGTAAGGCAGAAGCCTCAAGTGGGCTGCAGTTGTGTAAACTCCCATTGTTCTCGGAGCGGAAGCGCAGCGCTGGCCCGGCGGGGGATTGTCCTACCAGATTTTGGCGATGATCACCTAACCAAGCTCCTTCTGCCTCATTTCACTCAGTACATTGAGCAAAGGGGATAAAAACTCCTGCCTGCACCAGATACAGGCTCGGAGCACCCTCCCAAGCCAAACGCCTGCTGCCTCCCACAGCACCTTCAAAGAAAAATGCCTCTAATCACAGAATATTCTGAGTTGGAAGGGACCCACCAGAATCATCAAAGTCTGGCTCCTGACATCTCCTCCGAGCTGTGGGCAAGGCTGGAGCAGGACCAGGGGAACTGCAGAAACTCCCCAAACTGGCCTCACTCATCTTCATCTCTCATTTTGATGACACGATGGGAAAAAAAAGCAGCAAAGCTCATTGAGACCCCTTTTCTGCGTGGCTGCCATGCACATTCACACTGAAGAGGCATGAGAACAAGCCTCAAAACCAGATGATTTTTATTGTTCGCTCCCTTTAGAGAGAGGAATCATCTGTGCCTCCTTATGACACGGTAAAACAATACCTCCTTCCAGAAGAGGTAATAAAATACCTCTTCTGATCCAGGCCCTGATCCAAGCA